GCACCAGTTTAACGGCGAACCCAGTCGAACACAATGAGAACAAGGGACAACAATGGTTGGTGGAGAAGAACACATATATAAACGAACGGAAACAAGCAGAAAACTGCCACTTCACAAGCACTGATGATGTCACCTCGGCTGGTGATGAAACGTTTGCAAACAAATTGCCAAGGTTGGGGAACAGGCGAAATAGAATTCAGTTCACCCGAGCTACGAGAACCAGTTTTCAATGCTTCACAATTCTGTCCCGATTGGTGAATCTGTATTTACCATCCAATAAATGGAAGGGTGTCTCCGCTTTGATTATGATTCATTGTTTTCTCATCTTTTAGTAATTTTCGATTGTAAAACAGGAATGGAGGATTTTACTTGTTCATATGATGAATCTCATCGTGTAAATAGGACATCAATGAAAGCTAGAAAACACAGGACAGCTGTTTCGACTTGGGTGGATCCAACCGACAGCACTATTCCATCTACCCTCGCGACTCATTTACACATATAACGAAATCAAATTCCCCATTCTCCTCATAGAACAATTAATCAGGTCGTGAACGTTTCGAAGCGGGTCATAAACCTCGAAGCTAGTTGAATGAGACGCGATGGCCGCAACGAGATCGCCAACATAGGTGGTGTAATATCGTGCATATTGACAAACTAGAAAATTTCTGAGCAGGGGCCCGGTGGCATTTTACCTTTGAGGTCCCGTGTTGGATCCAACCTGGTAGAAACAGATATTCAGTGCTTCCTAGCTTTTTAGCTCACGCATCCTTTACGCGGTGAATGCATCATATGATTTCGGATTCTCGAGGGTTGAATTTTAGCAAGAAGTATTCATAATGAGAAGTCAAACTTGTAGAATAGAGCGCTTTTATTACTGAGTCATTCGGTAGCCCCATACAACGCTCTCTTGTAGGTCACAAAATAACACGTAAAGCAGCAGAAAAGTTGAATCCCTTTTTTGTGCATGTGAGTTCAGGTTATTCTTTAAGGTTCATGACGGGTTAACTAAGTTAATGTAAACGTGATTTGATACGTGTATGTAACAGACTTTGCGTTACTCTGTTCTTCACAGACGTGTATGAAAAATCCCGACTAACTGTTTTCGAACTCACTCATGGTGGCTGTTCAATTGTTTCGAAAGCTGATAATATTGCTTATTGTGCCCCTCTATGTGCTCAAAAACAGCTGGTCATAGATCTGGGTTTACTATGGTCAACCGCAAACACTAGAGTGACGTAACATCTGTTCTATATTCGTGTTAAATTGCCTGCATCGATTTATTCT